AAATTTGGGGTGACGGGCAGATTGGAGGCAAAATGAAACCATGACCCCGGTTCCCAAAAAGCTGATACGATTGAATGCACCATGCTTCGCCCATCATACAGATTTCTGAATGCAGACTGTAAAAGCTGAAAGGTACATTGGGACCCCAAAAACGATTTCTAGACAACAAAATTCATTTTTGGTAGACCGCTGAATGAGTCATAGTAAATACATGATTGAAAATGATTTTCACATGGCAAAAATCATTTTTATATAGACAGATTTTATTGCACGTTGCCTGAGTAAAGCAATGAATTGACATTCCGATCATCGATTCCTCAAAATCTAGATACTGTCAGAAAGAAACCTTCCTGTCGTCATGGTTTCAAGATGTGAAATCCTCGCTTGCAAAGCTTGGTTGTGACACCTGACGAGAAACGCTGCGCTTGAAAAGGTGGCCTGTGAATGTTTGCAAACACAGAAGCTAAACACACACAATAATCGAAGCAGAATGTTCCAACCAAATATAGATTATATAGATAGCATTGCGGTTCGTAACGGTTCCTTGAGGCAAAAATAAACGGTTCGGTTCGGTTCGGTTTGACAGAAACTGCTTTTCAGTCCGGTTCGATTCGTGTCGGTTCCATTGAAACTGGTACCTTTCCGGTTCGGTTCGCGGTTCGCGGTTCGTTTCCTAGGGCTTACTGATACATACATACATACATCATAAATCTATACAATCATAGAACATGCCTCGTGCCCGTCACTTGCGGAGACTACTGTGATTCCCCAAGACCACTGCCACTGCTTTCAGTTTCAATACCTTGTTTTGACATTTCAACATGGAAGACAAAGGTATAATAACATGCCTGGTAGTAGTCATTTGATCCGACTGTGTTTGGGTCGGATCACCTAAGATAGATTTTTGCACCCACTCCAACCTGCATCATCTACTGGAGTGTCTTCTCTACTTAGTGCGGTTCATACGTTCCACCACCTACCCGGGCCCGCCCCGGTAAGACCACAAAAAATAGACCGGGGTGGCAGACGGACCACGGAAGTTCCTGCATTGTTCCTGCATTCTGATGTTGTGGCCGCTCGTCGCCCCGGCAACCCGTATTTTTTGGGGCTACTACCGGGGTGGGGATCGTGGCCGATGGCAAAAGACAGCGGCCCAAATACTAGCGCAGAGAAATGCACCTTTCACCCCCTATCAGGTCTTGCTCGGGGAGGCTGGCTGACCTTGCCACTGATGGGGATCGGCCAGCATCTATTACCGAAGAAAACCGGTTCCATGTGTATAGTGCGGAGTGCCTTATAAGCGTCTCAACCTTTCCTTACCAACGCGTCTCCGTCACCTGCATGTTCTTCTGGCTTTCGTTTCCCCTCATCAGGTCTGATATGCTGCTTTGGAAAGAAAAAATAGCTTCACTCCAAAGGGAGGGGATCGGAAAACACCTGAAGCGAGGAAATTTGGGTGAAGACTTGTCCTCTTGACTGGCCTTATTGTCTCGCAGCCGAAGGACGGATCAAGCTGCCCCTCGGGTAACGCAGCATCATTTCAATTTCCAAGATCTTGGGGTTTGACCTGGGGACAATGCCACCACATCCCACCACCTGAGAGCCTCCAGAACAATCCCGAACCGCTGCTTAAGGAGGACCAGCAGCTGCTGGCAGATGTCATCAGCTACTCAACAGCTGTGAGCGCGATGGCCAAGGGTACCCAGTGCCATGGTCAGCAGTGCTGGAACGTGACATCTTTGATGAATGAATAGGCAACATAGAAGAAGTGTGATGCGTGCAGATTTGTCCTGGCCTCGCACCTGAGGTGGGTCTTTGCTTTAGGACGGGTTGGCAAGAACACATTGGTTTATTAAGCTCAACCTTTGCCGCCGGCGCCTGCGCTTGTCCGTGCACCCGCACCCACACGCTTTGTCAGGACTCCTGCAGAAGTTGCGGCTCTCGGAGGCAGGGCTGTTTGTCAGTCAAAATAGGTGCCAATCAGGACCATCTGAGGGGTAATGGACTACCCCACACTACCTGCAGGCTTCCATTGGGCACCCCTTGGATGGTCCAGGAAGGAGCAGTTTCTAGTGACGTTTCAGACTTTCCCTTTTGCCGAAGATCGTTGCTTTGCAGCCTATGGTCCAGTGGTCCTATGAAGGTGAAGTGCTGCAACAACGAGGTGGGATGGGTGAGTAGAGTAGTATAGAGAAGTGTAAGGTCTTGATGGGTTTCACTTCCTATGACAGGTCATCCTGGCTCAATGACCCAAACACTTGGCGTGCTTGCAAATCGAGCGTGCATATCATGTGCAGGGTTTCACCTTTGGTTGTCCGCCCACCCAGGAACCGCTCCAAGATACAAACCAATCCGCATCGTTGGGCATCCCAATGACCAAATTATATAGAGGAACCGTTTAGCATACTTGGTGAGGGAAGCACCCAAGGTTTACCATCTCACAAGGCTGAGCAAGGACCTTGCTAGCTGCTAGCTGTGATATATATATATATATATACATATTTTTTTTATTGTATTATATATATATATATGCATCTATAATATGCCGTGGTCACAGCTACTCCAATCCTACTGTCGATGGAGCAACTCGTGTACCATCAACAAGACAATCTGACTTGTTTGTCCCCACGGCCAGTAGCAGCTCCAGAATCACCGTCACCACCACCACCCCTTTTTTCATGCTTTGAAAGTTCTCCAATATTTTGAGTTGTCCCAAGTTCTGGTCGCTGCAGCAGTACCATGGGGAGAAAACCCTCATGCGGCATTCCTCATGTTCATGTCATAGAATCCATTAAACATGGTTTTGGAGAAGCCGGAATTCTCCCTGTCAAAACATGAGAAAGCACTTCACACACTTCACATGAAAGCGACCTCCGGGGGGGAGGACGGGACCCCCGAATGAAAAACCGCTTTCATCCTCGGATCTAGGTCCGCCCCAATGTGATCTCCTACAACGCGGCCTGGGGGCTGAAGGGCCGTGCGAAACAGACCCGTTCGCGGCTGCGTTCCTGGATGGCTTTCCTGGCCCCACCTCGAATCGAAAACAGGAGTGAAGAGCAGACCATAAAGTTCCCAATTGCTTTTCTACATGCTCAATGCTCATGGGCATTTTCATGTAGTGGCACGACGTGCCCACTCTTGCGCATAACAATTTAAGGCACAATAAATCACTTTATGGTCACTATATATAGTTCTTTTTGGGGGGACGATTCCCGGAACATCAACTTGACAACTTGCTGCGCCCCCTTTTTGGCCGTGGTCAATGCATGTGACCTGCGACAGACGTGGTGATGGCCACACCACATTCATGTCAATTCGAGCGGTGTTGCCGCCTAGAGTCTGACGTCAGCTTTGGGTGGTGTTGGCATGAATCTGATGAGCACACAATTATACCTGAAGGAAAGCTTTTCAGTTTCAGCTCGGACATTTATTTACAAAACAACGCATGCCAGCATTTTGAGAAATCTTTCAGGCTCACTCAAGTCGGGCAGCATTGTCTCTCACCACGTCGGCAAAACATGCGTATATATAATTATATATCATATGATGAGGCCCTTGGAAATCTCCCAAACTGGTTCAGTTTAGTTAGTCACATTTGGCTGATATGTTGCAAGGATGTTTTTTGGGTTCCTCCTATTTCAACACATCCACATGGCTAACCACTGAAACCGCTGGCACTGCTGAGGCTCTTTGTGCTTCGGCGGCCGCGTTGCAACAGCAAATTGCTTGGGAGCTATTCTCGGCCCTGCACACTGATGTGGTGGAGCCTGATGACTTTCGACTGCAGTTGGTTTCCAACTTGGTTTCGGTCCTATAGCATGGAAGAACAGATCTAGTGGTGGTCCAGTACTTGCAAGAGAAGTGGTTGGGCATCCGGAGCTGACGGTCTCTTTGGACTCCAGGAGGGTCCTTGCTGCATGCCCCACGCACGATGGTCAGAAACATGCAAAGACATGATGTGCCTGAAGTACATCCAACAGTTGTTTGTGTCATCTGAGATATCAGTGTTTTACTTATTTTTCCAGGAGGCACCCTTCCTTCACCTGGAAAGCCAGCTCTTTTTTTGCCAACGATGCTGCCTCAGAAGTATCAGAAATCAGGTGGTTACCTACTGCGCTGTGGCCAGCCAGTCCAGCTTTCACAAGAGCTTGACGATCATGGAACTGGTGGCGCATGTGAGCTTGCGGGAATTGAACGGCTCCAGGAAAATATCGGCCTGACTGCGTGGGTGAACACGTCGTTTTGGTTCTCCCGCATTTGCTGGACTGCATGACGGTGCACCTATTCGACCACTGAAGGTCCAACCTACACGTTGCGCTTGTGTCCAATGCGGTGGTGGCGATCGTGCGGGGAGATGTCCAATGAGAAATGATGAGAATACCATAGAACAAGAAGCTACTAGGAGCAAAGGGCATCGCTACTAGGAGCAAGAACGCTACTATAGGGGCTCCTGGCCGTGCTACCAGGAACAAGAAGCTACTAGTAACAAGAAGCTACCTGGGGTTTTTGATGGGATCTCCAACACTTGGCGCGGGGACGGAAGCGGTGGTTCCCTGGATCACCCCCCTCTCACCAAGAGACAGGTGCTAAAGTGCATCATTCACAAAGATGAGGTGAACAAAGGCTGTAGTAGAACATGCAAACATGCAGGCGACCCCACCGTCCGGCAGAGATTCAGAAACTCTGATGTTTGTTCATCGCCACGGGCTCTTTCTGGAGCGGGCGTAAACGGCATCATCGTCGTGCTCCAGGCGCATCACATGTAATTAAAGAGCTGGATAGAATGAAACTTGGCAGGCCTTTCATGTGGAGTTTTCCGGTGCATCACCAGGTCCTTTCTCTTCCTGAACAAAGCGTAGGATGGCCTTGGATGGGCTCAGCCACAAAGGCATAGAATGTGGTTTGCTTAGTTGGCATTTCGCCTTATACAGACCAGCAACCCCATGCTACCCCTGCTTGGCACTTGCCACCCAGCCACCTCACAGAGAAAAGCCGCTCCTCAAAATTAAGCCAAAGCCCGCAGAGAAAAGCGCGTCGATCGCGGCCGCTAGCTATGGGGGCACCACCGGAGCTGCTGGAGAGCATCACCAACTTGGATTTGGAGGTGCAGAAAGCCTTCGAAGGCAGCTCAGACGAAAGAGTGCCTTCCACAACTCTTAACACGAAAAGAAACAAGGAAGCAATGGCCTCTTGGAGGGCCTTTCTTTCAGTGTTTTGGGCCTTTGGAATCTGACACGTTCCGGCAACGTTCGCCCCGCTATTTCAGTGCGCCCCCTGTTGGTCTAAGTTGGTAAGTTTCAACTGCAGGCCCAACCGGCCTAAACTGTTATTGCCTCCCCCTTCCTCAGGAGGCGCAGGCATAGGATCATACTGTCACTGAAAAGACACGGATTCCCATGCAACATCCACTCTTTTCATGAGGGTCACTTAGCACATCACAGCACCCTTGCTACGGTTGGAGGCCATTGCTATTGGGTTGGAGGCCATCGCTCTCAGGTCACGCAGTGCAATTGATACTATAGGCCACAAGCCTTACTACAACAGTTTTATGACCAATAAGCGCCATAAAATTTGCCTTCTGGGCTGGAAACGGAGCGCGTTTGTGGCGTGGTGCTCATTTTACAAATGTTTGCAACTCACTACTTGTCTCTTGTTCCCAACCCAGTGGAAATGAATGGGAAGTCACATCATTAGCGGGGTTGTGTGGGAGCTGGGCCGGGGAAGAATTAGGTTGACCGGACTGGTGACAGCTTTGAAACAACTGCAGGTCACGACCAGTCCTCGTGCCCCGAGGGGTTTTCCGGTTCTCCCCTCGAACATCGGATTCAGAGGGCGAACATCGCAACGAAGACGAGAGACATGGTTTGTGGTGGTTTTTGCCTCCTTTAACTCCTATGGTGACATGTTGTCAGACAACAGAACCCAAAGAAAACGGAGCACCGAAACTCCGCAACATGTCTTCTTTGACTCTTAGTCCCATTAAACTTCGATTGCATTTGTAACTGTCGCACTCTTCAGCCTAAACCAAGTGACACTTTAAAAGGTTCAGATACTTGATCTCGTTGTGAAACGCATGCGGCTACGTGTTGGCGTCTTCCGACCTGGTGCGTATTCGTTGTTCCTTATTCAGGGGTTCGTGCGTGGAGGGAGGCTGGTTGACGGCGTGACCAAACCCTCGAGCTACCTGAGCTGAGGTCTCCGGAATCAGATCCAGGGGCTCCAGCAACTGGCTCGAGGCCGGTTGAAATAGATAAAGAAGACAGAAGACACCAAGAAAGAAAGAGAGAGAGAGAGAGGGATCGGGTTCCCACATCAACTATCCGAAGAGTCAGGCTTTTGTCCGCACAGTCTTTGTCAGGGCTGGAAGAGCACAACGAGGAGGGTGACACAGAAGTTTGGCAGCTTTCGCACGAGGAGTGGCAACGATGGTCGGAGCTAACAGGGTGGATGGTTGCGAAGGATTGAGGTTGGATTTGTCAGAACTACACACAGCATCGAAACACCAGTGCTTTGCTGTAAGCCATTGTATCATATTGATTCATATTGTAGATAGATGTTTTGGATGCCATTGGATGCACCCCTCATTGGGAGCATACCCGGCACCTTCAAATGTCATGTTCGATCTTTACTGGTCCACTCTTGCTGCACCTTCTGTCCGCGAGTTAAAACGTTGGAGTGTTGAACACTATGGTCTCAGTCTGGGCAGAGAACATTGGGTTCCGAATAAACTTTTAGACATCCCCTGAACAACCCTGTGGATGTCTCCAGGATGCGGCACTGCTGGGCGAAGAATCACCGCTCACTCCTGAGGCATGTTGGCAAAAGAGTAATTACAGTGCTCATGTCAGGTGCGAGGCTTTTGGCGTGCAAACTGGGCTCGCCATCACCTTGCTGGTCTGTTAGGATCTCAACACATATTTGCTGAGAAAGGGGTTGTCCATCCGGATTGCACATTCCGAAATATGGAGCAAGCCTTTTTGGGCTACAGTACTGGTAAAGGTTGCAATGTAATATGATTGTTTTTTATTTTCCATTTTGTGTATTTTTGGGACACTGGGAATCGCTATAGGCACCCCTTGGGTTGCACGCAACAGAGACACCCTACAGTAGCAACTCCCCCTTCACAGAGCTGCGCAGAGCCGCGCTCTTCGTCAGGCGCTCATTTTGCAACGCAGCGTGCGGAGCCACGAGCATGGGATCCACGGCCCCTCACAGCTGCGCTTAAACTCGCACATGATGGAGCTCTCAATGAAGGCATGTGGAAACGTTTGGAGTGGATTGCTCAAGTGGGGATTTCCATATTATTACACAGTGATTTCAGAGTTCTTTTAGATGAGGGTCCATATAAATTGCTGGAGAAGCAGCACCTCCGGTGAATGACTCCGGGACCAGCCCACTTTACTCCCAAGTACTTGGCCAAGCTTTGGCCCAGACAGGGTCCCAGATCGCAACACCGAATGGTCTAAGGAACGACCGAGATCTGTCGTCGGGCACAGGAGATCGGTCCGAACTAGAGCCCCTAGGAGGTCGGGCATGGTCGGGCACCACGAAGATCAGATCGAAGAAGCATCGCATCCACGCACATGTAAAGGTCATGTGGCCCCTCTGTTCGAATTTAGTACGTCAACAAGACTCCGCATTTGATCGACCAGAGGTTCTTCCACTCACGTCCAGGCCTCTGAAGCCGTGGACGCGCTGGGACACAGCAACTGGAAACCTTCCGTGGTGCCTTGCTTCTGGATGTGCTGGTTCCCCCCCCGTAGATTCATGACAATAGAATACAATAGACCACGTAGAGCTGAGAGCCCTAAGTACTATACACATGGAAGCAGATAATTATACAGTACGATAATTTCGGTCGACCAAGGTGAAGTGAGACAGTACCAGCGAGGAGTGGGAAAGCGTTATACGGCAGTATACGTACCGCAGTATCCGGATTTTGTTGGTTCCCCTTTGAGGGTTCATGCTAGCGTGACGCGAGCAGTCTACGCATCAGAAACAAGTGGCGGCGTAAGAAACGGCCCAACCTTCCCAGAATTCTGCACTAAGCAGGGTTGGTTCGACAACGATTGCAGAGGTTAAGAAGATGTATGAAACATGTAAAATACTGTAAGAGTAACATTTGTTGATGCTAGCTGGCAGACTTTTCACACCTTACAGAAATTGTGCTTGAGCCCGCCTTAGCCAAATGGCTAACTCTTGGAGACGGCGATGGAGAGAGAGAGAGAGAGAGATTTCTTGATAGGTCACCAGTGGATTTGATCACCAATGGCACCAGTGTCGGTCCACTGTCGGAGTCGGTCGTTCATCCATCCGTCTGGAGCGACGGGCCCTGTGGCCAAACGGGCCCTAAACGGGCGACGGGCTCGGTCGAACGGACGTCCAGCATAGCCTTTGTTCAGTCCCTCGATGAATCGAAGTGGTTTGAAGCCACCTCTGTATGGTTCGGACCATGGTACTCCAAACGGACTCCACTTCCATGATTTGTTCCGGGAGTGGATAATGAGCTGTCCTCCAAGAGATCACCGTGAGCCGAGAATGTCTATGACGTCGCCTCAAGTAGGACGTCCAGCCTGTAGTCGCTTTGTTATCTTTGTTTGGGTTTCGTCCTTAAGTGGGCCGACGCCGACCCGATGCCACCCAGTTTGGGATCCCAGTTTGTCCCATAGTCATCCCGAGTACGGTTTGATCGTCATCCCAAAGCCCTCCTAAGCCCTCCTCGGCCCTCCTCACAACTGATGGCTGAGTTGAACGGCCTCGCGAGGCCAAGGGGTGTGCTGAGTTCGTTGCTGCTGGTCTTTTGGTGGGTTCCGACCTACGGTTGAGCAGAGCAAACAACTGTCTCCCAAGAATTCCCATTGGCCCAAGTCCAGCCATTGTGGGACAATCTCCGAATCGAATCTACACCCCTCGAGTTTAATGTTTCACTGAGAGTCGGACGCCTTAAGTGAGATCGTTTCATGTACACAGACAGACTTGGGTAGATGGATGGACAACTGGAGTGCACGCATGTGTGCAACCACGAATTTGTGCAGATTTGTGCCCACCAATCTTCATGTTTGATTTTCTACACACACCGTGCCGCGGCTACATCCGTACTCTACTTGCAAGTGAATAAAAGGACGGTATATAATTTCGATTAATTTCGCAAGCAGCCAAGCTGCACACCGGGTTTTGACGGACAAAAGCCATGTCCTTTTTTGGTAGATCAAAACGATTCAACACACTAAAACGGCGATTCTTCTTTTGTGACGGCATTTTCACTTTCCAAGGATTGAGCTACGGCAGAAATAAAAGAGTTACGGCAGAAAGACTTGCCTCAACAGTCTAAGTCGGCAGAAATGATTTCCTCGGCTCGCGCTGCGAACATCGGTCGCACGAGCTGTGCGTTCCCATCGTTCCCAGCGTTCGAGCCAATGGCAGGCACTCTGTTTACTCAATGGCCAATGCGAGCCAAAGTGCCAGCGGGCCGCTCGGCGAAGACCATGGCTAGGCGTTCGGACCGCTATGCTCGGTGGAGGCCATCGCTATTGGGTTGGAGGCCATGAACGCAATTCACGTGATTTCAACACGGACGTGCAAGATTCCAGCTCTTACCAATTCTTTGGAGCTTGTGTTGCCCCACTGAAGGGAAACTGGAAACAATACCGACCGACACTGTCTTCTTACCCAGTTGTGTTTACCCAAAGATACCCAAATTAATTACAAGTCACTTCAAGTCCCTTATTCTTCATTTTTCCATGACTTCAGAAAGCCCTCTTTTAATACGAAATCCCTTCTTGATGGACCGATGTTGTTCATTGGAGGGAATTCTCACCGCTGCGGGGCCCATGGGATCCTACAAAACTCCCACCTGGTGACGATGTTGGAGACGTGGAAACTCCAATGCTATTTCTTATATGTTGTCACCTTGATAAATACTCTAAATAAACCATTTGCGAGTCAACCAATTCCAAGAAGCAGCTCCTCAACCTGTCGCGATGTTGCCTTCAATATCTCAGCCTCTCCTCGCGACGACCGACCTTCCGCTGTAGCGGCGATGTGAGGATCGTACTACCTGGCTGCGGGCGGGTGAAAGCGGTCCCGCCAGATTCAAAGTTCCGCATTGCTTGGGATCTCTTCGGCATGATGTTGATGGTGTGCGATGCGTTCGTGTTTCTCGCAGTCAGGCTTATGGAGCTGCGTCGTTTCGATGCAGAGTACCTGGCGTTATTATTTACATATGGAGTTCACATGCACACGTGTGAAATTGCACTAATATGCACTAATCCATATTAATCGTTGAATGCATGGTTGGACTATTGACCGCCAAAAAAGTAATGTACTCACTTAAACTCTTTTCTATGACTTACGTGGCCTTGATTTACAAGGAGCAGATTGTTTAGACAAGCAGTCCCCATGCAGTGTTTGTGTGTGTGGGCTGTGGTTTGCTGAAGCAAGTCGTGTGACCCGTGACATTGGGAATAATTGGGGTGGCGGTGGCAGCGATGCTGTAATTATCAATCAGATAGCATTCCTCTTTCCAATAAGGAGAATGTAGGTGGCTTGGATGACTAGTGGCACATCCAACTACAGCATTGAGGCACCTTTTCTACAGCTTAGGTGTTGACCTTCCAGCAACTCAGAAACCAGTCATCTCATTGTACCGAGGCTGCCAGTTTGCATGGCGTGGGACTTGAACATCACGCCCTTTCCACAGACTTACTGGGAGCGAGGCATGTTGCAGGCACGACGCCTGGGAGCTAGGTTTGAAGAAGCGTAATCCAGGACTAAATTGGAGGCCTGGCAGCCTTCCATGAAGGTCCACAAGATCCATCCAAACGAATGGTCCAGGCTTGCAAAGGATGGGTTTAACATTCACACACAGAGATTTATAATGATGATATATATATATATATATAGTCTTCACTGCTGATGCAGATAGCACCATTTGCGATTGGGCAGGTCTTTGCCATCGTGTCGTTGGCTTTTTGGCCGCTGGATATTGCTGCTCGGATTTGCAAGGGGAAATGGCTGAGCCGGTGGGAACCGGTGGGAATTCCAGTGATCCAGGAGTATGCTTAGTTCACCATGGCCAAGGCAGACTTTGTCACCTCTCCCTCCTTCCACTGGTGGTTTGTAAGAACCAACACCTGGTATCACCTGGGTAGGTAGCTATCGAGCTCCTAGCCCGTTGGCTAAAATGCTGCAAAACACGGAGCTTCTTGAGGGTGTGATGGCAAGGAGATCCAGATATCGGCTCTTTTTCATACCTGCAAGTAGCTGCACTGTGTACTAGCATCTTGACATGGCATTCAGACCAGCCACCTGGCTTCTTGGCCTGTGCTTGAAAGGCTCTCAACTTCTTCACCGGCTTCCACGTGAAAGGTCATTATAACTATGCCCTGTGGGCGATTGCCAAGCGCTACATGCAACTCGGCAGCATCCTGTTGAAAGGTGAATGATGTTGCACTAGACCTGCGTGCTACGAGCATGTCGCCATTAGAAGGCACCAGTTGCCTGCGGTTCCACATATCAACAGCCCAAGAGGTGAAAACGTGTTGGTTGAAAACGTGTGCCAGCAACATCCTGTTGGTGCGTTCGCCAACTGGGACGTCAGGATTGGCTGACACACTGGGACCAAAGGATCTTACGAGGATGTTCAACGTGAGTTTTCGCCCACCTCAGACAGCCGAAGAACAGGATGTCTCTCCGGAGCCAAGGTTCACCGGTTTGGAGTGATACGCCCCCGGTCTGATAGCTGCCAAGAGAAGAGCCAGCAATTGATGCGAACTTGGAACCACCTGCTCTCTCGGAAGCCATCGGAAGCCTCCAACTGGAGATCTGCCGTCAACGCTGGGGTTCCATGCCTAGTGGATCCACTCATGATCCACTGGAATCCCGACACCTTTGCGCCCGGTGTGGCTCGGGTCCCCCTGACGCCCATGCGACGACGTTCGTTGGTGCGAATAAAGACGGCAGGATGACATGGTTTGCCTTCGACTTGTCGGTCGTCACGATCGATTATGGTGCAGCTTTTACGCCCCTTGGATGACTCGGGTACGCGCGGGGTGGCCCCAACGTGCGCGACAGGCGGGGCGAGCATTCTGGAGGTGAGCAAAAGAAAGTGGGAAGGCTTACAGTAACTGTGTTGCCACTGCCTTTGTTTGTGCTTTGTTTGACATAAGTTTGACCCTCGAAACATCGTTGCAGATCGCCAACATGCAACATGGGGCGCCCACCAAGGCCCTGAATGGGGTGCCCCACCCTCAGGGTGCTATGGGCTTGCAGGATTTGTACTTGTTTGGAAGCTTCAGACTGGTTGAAAGGCTTTGAGTAATAGTCGTTGGATGTCGTTAGTAGCTGTTGTTTTTGAGAGTTCTCCCGAGAGTTCTCCCAATTTGAGCTGATTCCTTTTGGATATGTGTCGGGTGATCCTTGTTGATGTAAGGGAGCTTATATGAGCTTCTACGTGCCGATGTGTCACATATTGTAGCTCAATGCAACATTTATGGATTGGATATAGAACCAATGCCACTGCCTATGATCCAAGGACCAATCGCGGGGACTCCTGCAATGCACACACGCGCACACCAGCACAACTTACATGTGTTTACATGTGTTTGCACATTTGCGGATACAAACTTTTGCCAGCCCTAAGCAGTTGCCAAGGCATTTCATCCCGCGAACTTAGGAACTCCCTGACCTTTTCGGCTCTCACCCCTCGTGTCAGTTTCCTGGGCGTCATGTCGCAAGGATCACCGGCACTGAAGACGATGCCGCTGGCTTTCTGCAGCCACTGCGCTCTGCACGGTACCTACGAGTCCTGCGGACGCTGATCGGGGGAGGATCTATTCACGTCAAGCGATAGGAAGCTGAAGAAGTGAGATGGGCTCATCTCACTGAGACTAGTTCGCCTACGTGCCTTTCCTGTCCCTACACATGGGTCCCGATAGCGGATAGTGGGTAGCCTCACAAAGCAACACATGACATGAGGCAGATATTGGGACCGATGGAGCTGCACAAAATCATGGGACATTTGACCAAGAGATTGCACAATCCACAGCAATCCCTACGTCACTGGAGATCAATTTATATAAGCTTATTGTGAGCCAGGTTGACCACCGGTATGCCACCTGCGGTTCTGCCGTTCCTTCCTTATTGTTTTCGTCATCGGTGTTTGGGTCCAGTTATTTGGCCTCAGCCACGCATGCTCACGCACGCGCAGCTGGCTCACACGACCGAAGAGAATCAGAAAACAAGAACTTTACACCATTCATGGTAAACATGCAGTGCATAGACGCCGCATAGACCTGGGCCCCCAAACAGGCGGCAATTTGCTGTGTTGAAGTGAAATTTTATATAAATATATATACGTTTCAAGAGAGCTAGCCGCCATGATCCCAAAAACCTGTTAATATTTGGAAGGCCCTCGGTTGACGTTGCATATTACTTTTTGGGGGGAGCAGTTGACCTGACGCGACGTGATGCATATACCCGAAAGATAGAGATGTCACGTCTATAAGACCACCATCCGCTAGACAATTGTGGCCGGGGTCCGCTCAACGCATCCTTGCGTTTGTCCTGGTGGGGTGAAGAAGTTGAGTTAAGGTTGTGGTATGGCATCTTCCACAGATGAGGTCGCTAACATGATCCAGTGACCAGTGTCTTTTGGCCATATTCGGCAAGAGACTTGAATCCATCAGGGGTCAACCTCAGCCATACTCAGTCCCGGGATATCCGCCCCTTCCCAGTGCCATTCCTGAGGATGGTCCGGATATTGCGGATTTTGAAGGCTGGAAAGGTCAACGTGATGCTCGAGAACCTGGTGTTTCTTGGTCCTGGCGCCGCGTTCTTTCGGGTTCAGCGGTTGCCGGTTTTGGAAAAGAAAGCGGTGGGCTGTCTCGACTTCGAGCGTTTCGGGCACTTAAAGCGGTCGCCGGAGGCTTGCAGAGGTTTTCTTACTCCATGCCCAGGCACCGAATGATGTTTATACCCCCTCCTATATGCCGTACAGTGTATATACAAATAGTGTTTCATATATATATATAGAGAGAGAGATATAGATTTAACTATACTGTATATATATATATATGTGTGTATTATATATTGGGTTTGTCCTATAACCTGTAACAGTCAGTTAACAATTATTGCTATTTTTGAACAAGGCTTTTACTAACCATCATCATCCACTGTTACAGTTACAGGTATTAGGATACACCCAATACATATATATATATAGGGTCTTGGGTGTTCGTCGGGTGTCAACTGCGGAGTCCACGAAATAGGTCGAAGGCAGAGAGGTTCAACGACCTGCGTGATGAGGATCGCCATGGGCCGACAATGGCTGATCCTAGGCGTGCGCAGCTCTGGGCGGGTTGAGCCGATTTTTGTTGCGCCAAGGGGAGCCATCAGCCGATTCATGATCCTATAGCATAATATAGGATATAGGGTAGCGGGGTAGTGCGTTTGATATTGGATTCTCCAGATGGGCTTTCTATGAGCAAGCACTTTTATTCATTCTATACTAAAGTAGTCTGTATACAGCATGCTCCATTTGTTTGTCCAACATCAGTAACATCAGTATTTAGGTGAACGAGATAGGGCCCCCACATAAACGAGATACTTTTCTTAAGAGACTAAAGTAGTCTGAACGAGATGCTGTGATTTGCTACTAAAGTAGTTTGAACCAGATACTGTGACATGACCTCCTGCTCCAGTAGTCTAAACGAGATAGGGCCCCCACATACTAGAGCGATGTGTTTTTGAGTTTTGTCATGAATAAATCGCCGCCGCTCACACACACAGGAAGTTAAACCCGTTGAAAAAAACACACAACCAAGGTGAGAATTTGAGTGAGAGTTTTGGGACACGGGTCGCCCCGAGAATGTTTGTAATGTTTGTTGGTTAATTTCCTGTCAACAGAAAGAACTCAGGATAGCATCAGATGTTTTACATATTCTATTTTACCACATTGCAGTAATTTTACTGAATGTACATGTCATCGTGACCCCATGAACCCTTTGTGACGTTGCCTCGTGATCAAACCTTCGTGGCAGCCTTCACGGTGGGGAAGATGCTCATGGCGATTGGGCTGGTCACGCACATTTTGACCTGCTTGTGGTTTTGGCTGGGGAAGTTGGTCCACGAGGCGTGAGACAGCGCGTAGCGGGCGCCTCAACGTGACCGGACGCCGCAAAAACCAGACATCGCTGGATTTGGTGGATGAAGAGGAATGAGATGGGCCGTTTTGACATTGGTGGAACCAATCCGCTTGACTTGGCCGACTTGGACTTGGTTCTGGGATATTTCGTGGGACCTGTGACCTGGATCGCTAGACTTGGTGGGTGGTTTTGTGGTGAAACCTGCACTGGAGAGAAAAACGCCCTGGGTATACACACATCAGGTTATTAATGGCAATTATATACAAATTACAACCCACAGAAACTGCTGAGCTTGGGTTTGTTGTGGAGACCGTAGTGGTGCCCTTCTTTCCTGGCAAGTCTTGCTTGACAACCTCCATGTCCAGCTTCCTGTCCAGGAAGGCATTCGAAAGAGTTGGCTGGATTTGGCGAACGTCACCGAGCTGGATTTGGGCCTCCAATACGTGCCAAGGCAAAACTTGGCGCGGTGCCCAACAGAATGTAATGTAATATATATAAGAAGCCTCTTTCAGCACCCTCTGAGTCGGGACAAAAAGCATACGAATACATCCGAAGATCTGTAAGATGTACAACAAGTATTCCTCGCCCTTCCTTGGCCGTTGTTCATCTGTAAGATGAGTTGTCATCATTTGTGGACAAACACTGTTTGGATGATTTGTCCGATGTTGGGACACAATTTGGCGCCTCAGCATGAAATGCCCGGTCCTGCGGGTCAGGCAGCTGGACGGGTCAACGGTGAACCCGACGTTCCGAGGTGGAAGAGGTTCCCAGGCCCAAACACCATAGAGCCGTAGCGCTGATAGGGTCTTGATATATCGATATCGACGATATCGATTGCGCCTGGACGTCCCTTTCAGCATCCTTGAAAACATCTTGAAAACGGCCCAGACGCCGAGGCACATTCCGCCAGCTGGATCTTGTTGCCACCTTCGCCTCCGACGCTGGAACCCGACAGCCGTGTCTCGGCCTGTGCGGCAACCGAGAGGATCCAGGAGACAAGGAGAATTATATTATATAATATTATATATATATATATCGTCGGACGTGTTCCGGTTGATGGAGGGCTCTCTTCACACACCCAAGGGCTGTAGGGGATTTTTCAATGCGATGTTTCATGTGTTGCATTGGTGGAGTAGAGGGGATGGGCCTACGTAACAATCTCAACATATCTCAACATTGTGAATGGGCCTACGTAACAATCTCAACATATCTCAACATTGTGACGGAGATTCTGATTTAATTGCCCACCGTGAGTTTTGAAGGCTTGTAGTGTTTGCCAACAAGAAGACAGGTAAGTGTTTTTGAATCTCGGCTAATCCTGAAAGGACAAGTCAAATTCCCATCTTTGTTTGCGATTGCGTTAATGACAATTCCTGTCTCATCATGTCGACGACCTTTGATATGCCCCCAGTTTACTGCTTAGAATTCACCTGAATTCACTGTTGATTGAGCGTTGTGGGGGTGGACGTTTCCAGAGAAACAATTCTTTCCCGGTCGCCACAATGGACCCCAAACCTCAAGCTTTTGGCCCCATGGCCCTTTTCATCAATCCGCTGAGAGCAGGCTATCACGGAACAATTGCTAGTGCCTGGTAGTGGACAGTGGGCCGGTTCCACTTCTGGCAATCACACATATTATATATATATATATATTATATGTATATATTATATATATATACATGTAGAGAAAGAGAGATCAATTAATATATAGTTTAGTGATCTAATATGTTGTTTTTGAGGGGCCTCCATCACATCACCACCCCCTTCGCCTCGATCCCCGTCTCTCCCGGTCGCCTCCCACCGTCCGAGGTGTGGAGCGCCTGGCGAGTCTCATGTGCTTCGCCGCTTGGACGGAGACCGGCGACGGCGGAGAGCGAACGAGGGCCACCGGGGCTTAGCTTCTTTGTGTGGAAGTGAGCACTTGCAATGTAAATGTTGACAAGACATGTGGCCCGGAGACATACTGAAGACACCTTTAGTAGTATATCATTTTGATATAGCACACGTCAGTGTTTCCAATGTGAATCAAGTTGGAGATGTTCCGTTGAGCGAATGTGAAAGACCTGTCTTTCACAGCTTCACCGGGGCGACGGCTTGCGGAATTACAATGCTCACTTTACGCATCTTGACACACTCAAATATTTGGTATGTCATCATGGAAGTGGAACAGAGGCTCAGAGGCTCGTGGAATACCTCAAACCCAGCCTCAAACCCTTTGCAAAGCAGTTTTAAGCAGTTTTGCTCAGCTTACATCATTGAAGAAGGGTGCGTTCGCACGTGCTTGCACACCCCGGAGTCCATCGGACTTCGTGCCATTCGGAAGACCGCAGAGGGACGGTGTCCCAGGTCACTACAGTCCTGGTGATCGGTTCCGCCTTGTCCATTCTCACGGGCACCTTGAACGAGATTCGCCAGGCGCGACGACGGCGAAGAAGTCGTCCGGGCAGACGAAACAGTCACGAGTTGGTGGTTTATCATGGTTTATCCAGTTTGTTCGGCTTACTGTTATTTCTATTCTACCTGGACCTTCCTTTGGTACACATAAAAGTGTTCAAGGCTATTTTTGATACACATTGTTGTTGCTCGAGCGTTTTTTGGTTGACCAAGTCAACTCGAGCACTTTTTCTTGAGGGCTTGTGGTGGTTGAGCTTTCGTGAAAAAGTTGCAGTTGATCCATGATGATGTGGATATGGCTCAAATAGTGCCTTTGGGATCCTTTTGGGCCTTTTGAGATGGTGATGGACCTTGACAGGAGCATGCAAGGTGGGAATGATGGTTGGGATGGCATGATATTAATAAATGATGTGGTGTGACCAAATGACCCAATTGTTTAGAACTCATGATGCCTTGGAGGTGTCAAGTGGCAAGCTGGCATTTCACCAGAAGCTTTCGAATCCGTTCTGGGCAAAGTGCTTTGGTGTGGCATTATGTTCCTTTTGATTGGCCAAGTGTGTTGATGCTCTCATCGTGTTGCATGCATTGTTCTGAATGTCGCATGCATGATGAATGCGTGGCTGTTGCATGCATGTTGCTACACCCTGATCTTCGTGTCGATTGTCTGGGACAATCTCTGTAGCATTTGGCTGAAACAATGTCGTTCTGGGAGCAGGCTTCGGTTCTGGCCACAGCGTGGGCCAATGATTGTGAGATCAAAGCATTGGGGGCAAAGCACTCTCTTTGCATAATCCAGAAAAAGAAAATAACCAGAAGATCCTCAGATGCAATTGTATCATAATCACTCATGAGACTCATGCGATTTGTTGTGCATGCATCAAAGGCATAAGTGCTCGCCTTTGCCTTACTGTAAGGTGATGTTCGCCAGAATGTTGACCAGGTGGCCCTTGCTGTAAAGCACTTGGGACTTCGACCGTCCCAGGGCATGTTCGAGCAAGCAGTTCACCAATTTTGGTCGCTCTGCCTTCCTCGCTCTGAAGAAATTTGTAGTGCCTTGGCTTACCGATGATTGCACCCATGCATGTCTGGAGTTGAGCACGCATAACATGGCTGTGATTGACTGCATGCATGCCTTCCCAATGTCATGACCTTGTTGTTTTTTGTCTTGCTGCTTGTGCAGGCACCAAACTGAAGATGCAAGCGCGGTATATCAAGAAACTTGTGTATCGGTTCTCGCGCATGGCTAAGAAACACGGCTGAAGCTGTAGTTGATTGAATGGCAACGTTGTAAATGTGGTATACCCATATTCAGTTCCATGCTGCACACATTGGAGGGGGGTTGTTGGAAGCCTACTGAGGAGACCTCACCAGCCTAAGTGCAAGAAAATCCAGAAGCTGTATGCTGCAGCTGGTATCAAGATGCCAGGAACTTTGCTACAACTGCAGATCAATGAACATGTATTTTGAATTTTGCAGGATCCAAAAAGAATGAATCATGCAATGAATCGTCCGGCAGCACAAGTTCAACATCTGCTTTGGGCTTACAGTCTATATACATATATATATATATATAACTTGCAAAACATGGCAAAGCAAAGCGTTTTGTGACTTGGTGCAAATACATTGGCAGTTCCTTAGGATGATGAGGATGATGAGAGTGAAAATGATGTGGACGACAGTGGTGATGCTGCAAGCCCAGGTGATGGACCAGGCCTGCAAACATGCATGCTGCAATGAGAACGCTTGATGTTTTTCAGCGTTGGTGATGAGGCAGCTGTTGGTCCACACCGCCACCATGTCCAGGCAAAGAACTGCTCTTGCAGGTGTCCATCTCAAAAGGGGTTGAATCTGTTTGCAGGACCGGTCATGCAGGACCTCGCCAGTAGTGACAAAGTCGCCCGACCTTTGGAGTTTGGTTCCTTAGCATGAATGTCATGCAGGTTTATCTTTTGCATGCGCCAGTCTTGTCCCGATTCAGTCAGATTGCTGTTTTGAGGCAATCAGCCAGACCTTGATGCAAAGATGCTGTTGTTGCGAGAGCTCCGTGAACTTGAAGAGCTGCTCGAGACGAGAGCTGCCATGGCACAAGCTCCTGAAGTTCCAGGTCCTCTTCCTGAAGCTCAGATCAGCCGAGTGCCGCCTTTGCCACGGGGACCAACCATACCCGAGCAGCCATTGGTTGGTCTGAAGCTTATATTATAGTTGCACCTTGTATGGGTTGTGCTTGCCTCAGCACGTCACTCTTTATATGCTGTGCTGAGACCCTGACAACGATGATACCCAACCCATGGAGGTTGGTGGATTTACCGATGCGATGCCTCCAAAGCCTGTGGAGGCATGTTTAACTTGTTCTGTGAATGTTGTGAATGTTGCTTTCATCAAATGCCTCATCAGCAAACCATCAGATCGGGTATCACCTAGGAGACTGAGGAGACTGTTGAGAGGTCAGCCATGAATGCAGCAGTGCAAAAGCTGCTGGACCAGGAGTGCATTCCACCGCCAGCAAAGAAGAAGAGAGTAGCCAAGAAGAAGGAGGCAAACGATCAGCCACAGCATTTGTCAGCAGATGAAAGTGATGAGGACAAAAAACCATCGGAAGCCGCTGAGGATGAAATGGACAAGAGAGAGTCGAAGGACAACACTTCCAAAGGCACACCGCTGGCTGAAGCCAAGGTGAAAGGAGAATCGAAACGAAGTGAGGCTAAGAAGGCCAAGCAAGTTGTTCGGGGTGAGGGACCTATCCCAAAGGAGGCTGCTGAGCATGGACTTGGCGCAAAAGAGGCTGAGGAGAAAGAAGAAGATGGAAAGGGAAAGAAGCCGCGGAAGATCAATGAAGAAGCGAAGGCAAAGAATGCGAGGAAAAGCAAAGCATATGGTGCTGCAAAGCGGCAAGCGCTGAAGGATGGCCTGAGTGTGGAAGAAGCTACAGCTTTGGCCAAGGAGGCTACTCACTGCAATTACTTGAATGGCATTGAACTGCCTCAAATCGTGTTGATTCATTGCTATACGTGTTTTGCATGCATGATATTTGCTTATTATATAGTCTCTTTCCCAGAAGTTGTTGTATCTGAGGCTTACCGCAATGCAAATTGATGGAATGATGGGCTTGCTTTTAATTTGTTTGACTTATCAAATAGGGAATGTGTAATTCACATGTTCCGGTGCCTGCTGGAAACACAAAGTGTGAAGGCATCTTGTGTGTGGAGCAGGCGCAGCTATAGGTTCTGCACGATGCAATCCTATGCACGCCTATATATGTCGTTGAAAGCTTGACCTGAGTGCCATCGCGTAAAACAGTCTGGATGGCATTCATCCATGCATCTCATGGTGAATGACACTCACTTGATTGCACGAGTGGATTTGTTGCATGAGTGGTTGTTGTGGTCAGACTTGCATGCATGCACGAGTGGTTGTGGTGGATAGATTCGCATGCATGCATGAGCGCTTGTTGCAAACAGACTTACATGCATGAATGGTTGAACTGTTGCATGCATAAGTCATTGCTTGCTTTGGTCACTTGAGTCTCCCCTAAAAGTATATATTCTCAGGTGCATCGCTTTGGTGCGTGATTGGTGTGGCAATCTGGAGAAGTGCGCCCTTGACATTAAACATGTTTGCGGAACTGGTGCTGTTGATTTGCAAAGTCATGAACGTTCCTTTGTGTACTTAGAGCTGTTTGGCTCAGAGATGCTGATGCTGCACTGACGAACGTTGGCCATGGATGAGGCCTGAATGCATGCATGTAGCTTAAGTATATTATTTTATATGCCAAGCTGTTGGTTTCCCCATGCTGCAGGAGCATGGTCGGAAGCGTTCGTCAAAGGCAAACGTCCCTTGGTCTGCAATATATATATATATATATATGAATTTTTGAGTTCAACCATCAGCAGCCTGGAATCTTCCGTCTGCCCAGGATTCCGATCGGGCGACCAAGAGACTGACCTGGATCGAGGTCTTGCAGAGATGTGAGGCTATTGAGAAAGAATGCATGTGAGTTTTCTCGTGGCATGCATCTTGTTTGCTGTCCAGGTGTCGCAGAAAACTATCCACAAGATCGACCAGGCTGCTTAAACCTGCATGTATGTTGGTGCTTTGCCACTCCGGCGCGGCAGGATGCTGAGCTTCGGAATGCCATGATGGTTTTTGCTGGATATGTTGCCCGGATGGCTACGGAGGACCCTGTGGTGAGAGATGCATATATCGACAAGTGCAATAGATTCAATTGTTGAGACATGATAACATCATGATAACATCTATTCTGGTGGTGATCATCCTGCAGGAAGCGACAATGCAAGAACAATGCGATCCTGGCCAGTCCTCTGGCACCTCAAGGCATGTTCCAAGTTGTTGCACCCATGAATGATCCAGTCATTGTCTACATCTAACTGCAAACATGTTTGTGTGTATCTAGGCTGGAGAGGTTGCACGCATAGTGATTGAGTGCTTGCAATCAAGTCGGGGTGCTTTGCATACAAGTGTCTTGGATGGAATGCATGCACAGTGATTGAGCGATCACACACATCAGGGAGTGATCAAGTTGCATGCATGTGTCTTGGGTAGATTGCATGCATGTTGGTTGTTGGTCGCACTCATGTGTGGTTGTGTGGCTCACGGCATGTCCATTTGAGTTGTTGCACGCATGAGTGATTGGCTGCTGCTGCATGCATGAGTTAATTGGTTGCACCATGTTGCATCTGCAGATGTATGTGACTCTTGGTTGGTCGACTGATGCCAGGAATGACACCGCAAAAGCATCGGCTGCCGCAGATTCATCAGAACCAGCCACAGCCAGAAGCCCTGCTTGCAACACCATGGGCACGCAGCAGCAGCAGCAGTGTGATGCCACGGCAAAAGACTCCGACTCAGAGTCTGGCATGAAAATGGGAGGGTTCAAACTTAGGCCAGATGCATATCTGCAGCCACCAGCAAAAGAAGTGACACCTGTACACAGCTGGAGTCGCAAAGGGATTCCGCAGACTGTTGTGGTACCACCCCCGCCAAGTGTGCCGCGTCCACGCCCT